CCTGTCTCTAATTCCTCTCTTCTCATTCTTCTTAAGCCTACTCTAAACAATGTGTTGCCCTCAACACTCCACATACTCCAAAAAACAACTCTGGTCAAGATTACTAATACCTCCATATAGCTTAATCCAATGGTCAGTTCTTAGAATTCACCTTATACAACTGAGATCACCAGAAGCTGACACAACTGATGATACCTTTCTACTTCAAACACTTCCTTCACTTGACTTCTAGGATACTTGGGTTCCAGGATACTACAATCTCCTATTTTTCCTTCTATCTGACTAGTTACACTTTCTCTATCTCCTTTGCTGGTTAGGCCTCATCACCTTTACCTCTTCTCTTCTCTACCTATGCTCTCTACCCAGGTAGTCTCAGCCAATCTTGACTTTAAATACCATATATTCACTGATGACTTCTTAATAAATATCTCCAGTCTAGGCAGTAAGTTAGACCCCTCTGTGCTGGTTACCTAGTGCCGCTCTGACAAGAATATACCACAAATGGGATGGCTTGAAAAAACAGGCTTTATTCTCGCACAATTTGGAGGCTTTAAGTCCGAGTTCAAAGTGCCAGGCTCTAGGGGCTGGGTGAAAGCCATTTGACCTTGGGCTTCAGCTCTGCCTCCTGCTCCTGGCTTTTCTTCACTAAGCTGCTGGCTACTGAGGCTGACAAGCTCAAGGATGACAAGTAAAAAGGCATAGCCCCTACATTACCAAACCACACGGCAGGCCATTAATTCAAGTCCATTGAAAGTCCCAAAGTCAGCAGAGCATGGCAGGCTGCTAAACAATGACACAAATACATACAGGGTTCAAGTGTGCCTAAGCTAGAGACCATTCCCAAAACTATTTCTTGTATATGGGAAGCAGACCACATACCCAAAGGCAACTACTCAGCTGTTCACAGTAGATTCCGCCATGGAGTTAATTACCAATCTCACCATGGGGAATAACTACATTCAGCTTCCCACTCAACCAGGCCCAGCCAAGCTGACACACAAACGTAACCACAACACCCTCCTTAAACTTCAGACTTTTACATCTTCAATTGCTTAACTGACATTTCCATTTGGGTATTTTATAGGTATCTTAACAAAAAACAAAATCATGATCTTTACTCATGAGGTAGACATTTCAAAGGTTCACAATATCCAGTGTTCCTCTCCTTTGGGGCACCTGGATGACAGTACACAGTGAAGTCAAAGGACTTCTGGTCAATTCAATATGAGCTAAAGTGTCACGTATTACTTCCAGCCTAGGTGGTGAAAAGTCTATTGGTGATTCTCCAATCTCTCTCTTTACCTGCCTTGGCAACTGATAATGCACTATGTTCTGTCTAGATGGTGTAGCTACATGTCATCGTTTTGGAGGTATACATGAGGGAAGTTCAAAGCCTCTGTTAGCCACGTTTCCTTAATGATAACAACAGATCTTCTCACTGATCCACACTGGACATATATCATTAATAACAAATAAACTTGTATGTTTAGTCATTGTTATGGATTGAATTGTGTGCCCCCAAAAATGTGTGTTGGAACTCTATTCCTTCTACTTGTGGATATAATCCTATTTGGAGATAATTTTCTTTGTTATATTAATGTATTCATATCAGTAGGAGTTACAAGAAGATCAGATTAGACACAAAAGAATACACAAAAATCAGGGAAACTACAGAAACTAAGATAAGGATCCTCCCTTAGAGCAAAGAGCCCTCTCCTCCAGCTGGTGCCCTGAATTTAGACTTCTAACCTAAACTGTGAGAAAATAAATATCTGTTCTTTGAAGCCACCCACTTGTGGTATTTCTGTTACAGCAGCACTAGCTAGCTAAGACAACCACTGAGAATTTGGGATTTTTAGTTCCTACTCATGGTGTGGAGTATAACTGCTCCACAAGGTTTTCAAGGCTATGACCTTTCAGAAACAGATTGCCAGTCCTGTCTGCCAAGGTATGCCCCTGGGTGGATCCGGACTGCCAACCTATCAACCATTTGCACTACCCAGGGACTCTCTACTCTCCAAGGTCCCTCTTTCTCTCATAACCCATATCCAAATCATCAGCATATCCTGTACCTTCAACATATATCTAGAATCCAACCACCTTTTAGTGTCTCCACTACCATCTTGCTCTTGAAGTGGCACAAGAAAATGAAAAGGTAAGCTATAGACAAGTAGAAAATATTTAAAGCATTTATCTGAATGATTTGCAACCAGATTACATAAAACTCTCAAAGACCAAAAGTAAGAAAACAAACCACTCCATTAAAAATATTTTTTAAAACAGATATTTCACCACAGAGGACATACAGATGGCAAATAAGTACATGAAACTATGTCCAATATCATTAGTCACTGAAAAAAGGCAAATTAAAACCACAATGAGATACCACCACATACATATTAGAAATTAAAAAGACTAACAGTTGATGAGGATGTAGAGGAACTGGAAAAACAGACAATTTTATAAAAAGTTAAACATACACCTATGGCAAAAAGAATACTTGTACATAAGGGTAACAATTGTCCACCACTTCAGAAGCTATTTTTGTATCTATCAATAAGTGATTATTCTTTGGCTGAAAAGTCCTAAAACATAGGCCTACCATATGGTCCAGGCATTCTACTTTTAGGCATGCCTACGAAAAATGAAAGCATATATCCATATACGTTCATAGCACCTTTATTTGGCATAGCCCCAAACTGTAAACTGCCCAAATGTCCATCAACAGGTGAATGGATAACAAATTGTGGCATAAACCAAAAAAACACACTCACTGCCGTATATATGATTCCATTTATAAAATTCTGGAAAAAGCAAACTAGTCTGTAGTGACAGAAAGCTGATCAGTGGTTACCTGGGGAGGACGGGTTCTAGGAAGGGCAGGAGAGAGAGGTTACAAAGCAGCACAAGAAAACATTGGCGAATAATGGATATGTTAGATGGATACATTCATTATCTTGATTGTGACAATTGTGATCACAGGTGTTATTAAATTGTGCCTCCTAAAGCATGTGTTCAAATTCTGAACCCTATACCTGTTAATGTAATCCTGTTTGGATATAGGGGCTTTGTTATGCTAGTTAGATCACAACAGAGTAGAACTCGCTGCCATTGAATGATTCTGACTCTTATCGACCCCCACTGGGTTTCCAAGGCTGTAAATCTTTACAGAAGCAGACTAACAGAGTAGAGTGGGTTCTAAATATAATCACCGCTGAGTTACATAAAAAAGAGCAGATTAGACACAGAGGCTCCCACACACTGGGGAAGACAGATACCATGTGAGGATCACAAAGGAACCAAGGAATACTCGGGGCTACCAACAAGGAAGGAATCTATACACCTGAGACCCTGATTTGGACTTTTAGTTTCCAGAACTGTGAGAAAATAAATTTCTGGCATTTAAAATCATCCACTTTGCAATAATTCTGTTACAGCAGCACTAGGTACACAACAGGTGCATACATAAGTGAAAACATATTAAAGTGTATATTTTAAATAATCACATGTCAATTGTACTTCGATAAAGTTGTTTGTTTTTTTAAAATACATATATAAAAAAAAAACTCACTGCTGTCAAGCCATTTCTGACTCACAACAACCCCTCCTTGGGTTTCTGAGGCAATATCTCTACAGAAGTAGATTGTGTAATCTTCCTTCCGATGAGTGGCTGGTGGATTTGAACCACCAACCTTCTGGTTAGCAGTCAAATGCCTTAGGCACTATACTACCATAGCTCCTATATGTATATGTATGTATATATATATATTATATATATATATATATACACACACACACACACACACATACATACACATATATGCATACACACACACACACAGCATCCAAATCAAACCAAACTCACTGCCGTGGAGTCAGATCCAACTCATAGTGACCTCTCCTTGAGTTTCCAAGGCAGTATCACTATAGAAGTAGATTGCCCACTCTTCCTATTGAGGAGCAGCTGGTGGGTTTGAACCGGGAGCCTTCTGGTTAGCAGTCAAGTGCCTTAGGCAGTATGCCACTAGAGCTGCTATATACAGCATAGTAGGTCATTAATACATACTTTTAGAATGATGAAGTGGACAAAAATGAAAGAAGAGCCTACAAAACAGCACAAAGCTAGAAACAAATTTAATTGGGAACCCCTTATTGTCTTCCTTCATTCGATAGTAGTATTTTCTGAACCAGAAAATAGAGCTAGAAAGGAGAAATAAGCTTTCTTAAAGAAAAAGCCCCTCATTAGTATGAAGTTGTAAGGTCTTTCAACCAAAGGAGAATATTTAGCCTATAAATAACTTCTGAAATGGGCAACTGCTAATCCAGTTTGTAAGCACTCTTCTTTTACCACAGTTGTCTACAGCTGAAAATTTCTCTGAGCTCATCTCGGAAACCTGGTCTAATTTCTCCTGTTTTTGTGTTATCCTTATTGGCTATTAAAACACTAAACTGACCCTTTCTTCATCAACTTCTTGTTGTTGTTGTTATGTGCCATCGAGTCGGACTCAACTCACAGCGACCCCTCCTTGGGTTTCCGAGGCAGTATCACTACGGAAGTAGATTGCCCCATCTTCCTTCCGAGGAGTGGCTGGTGGGTTTGAACCGCCAGCCTTCTGGTTAGCAGTCAAGTGCCTTAGGCACCACACCACCAGAGCTCCTTACATCAACTTAGTTTGTTCCGAATTTTTTACAAACTAAAGAGTGGCCAGAGCTGGTGTTCTCAGTCTACACATCTTGGATGAAAATTTCCTTTCTTTGGATTCCTATGTGAAAAAGCCACCTTCTCTACTTCATTCCTCTCCCTTGCTCTTTTCTTTAAAATCCTAAATTCCACTCATCATCATCAATTTTGTCATCTTCCTCAACATATGAATCCACCTGCTTCTTTCATAAACTGCTATGGTTATGAGTTTTCTGCACAACATGGCTCCTCTGTGTTCAAAACAGGCATTGAAGCACAACACCCACCTATGTTTAAATAAAGTTAACCCCAGACTCACCTCATTTCCACCAACTGCCTTGGTTAAAATCACTGCAGAAGACACAGGGGGTGGCATGCAACCTACTGTCTGCAAACTGAAAAATAAAAGAAAATGCAATTATAAATGGTTTTCACTATATTCATTCTAATAGAGCAAAACTGAGCAAATGAAAACAGAAGTGTTTATTGACGCACATGCCTTGTTGAGTTTATACAATTACATGAGAGGTCATAATACTCAGAAGATGCTGCACACATGAGCTCAGAGCTCTCATTCTGTTCCACGGGCTTGGGAGATTTTATTTTGGAAGGTACTTAAGCTCTTATTATACAATTCAAAAATAGCCATGTTGTAGTGAACGTAGTAATTAAAACAGTAAAAATGGTTGATCGATTGATGTTATTGTTGGTGGCTAATGAGTCAGCTCCAACTCATGACCACCTTGTACATAACAGAATGAACCGCTGCCCGATCCTGTGCTGTCTTCACAATCTCTGATATGTGTGAGCCCCTCGTTGTAGCTACTAATAATTTCTAAGTGGTTTTGCAGTTGTATTTTTACTCAAAGAATTCCTACAAAGAATGCAAGAAAAAGATTTTTGCTTCACCTGCAAATATCTTCATATTTGATAAATGCATATCATCTTAGGATATTTTCAGGTAAGGCAAAATCTTTTGACATGTTTTTGTAGGAATTCTTTGAGTAAAAATACAACTTCAAAACAACTTAAATATTCAAAAATATTTAATGAAACACAAGTTTACATTTTCAGATTCCTTCCTATTCAATAGCAGTTCTCAAAATTTTATCTCATAAAAGAAGTTGATGTGTTGTAATATTATTATACAAATAGCCAAAACACAATCACATGTTTCTTGAGTTCAGATTCTACAATATCTATTCTCAATTTGGTTTTTATTAAACTATGTGCATACTCCTCGGATCATGATAAGTCTATTCTTTTAGTTTAGGATAGAAATAAATTGTATGATCAGTAAATGAAACTATGAGGGAGATAGAAGACACAGAGTACCTGTCTTAAACATACTTTGAGTGGGTAGAATTACAGATGATATTTATTCACTTTTGTAAGACTCTATTATCTAAACTTTCCACAACGAATTTATAATACCTCTGAAATAAGAAAAAAAAAAGAGTAAGATATATTACTTCATTTTGACTGAAAATATATACTTAGACACATTTTACGGACTTTCCAACTCAATTTAATTCAATAAGACTTGTTGACTACCTACTGTAAGAATGCAGTGTGCTGACCCTAGTTATAATAATTAATTGTAGATATTAAATTTATCACTAAACTAATTCTCATTCCATTCACTTATACCAATCTGGCCATGTCATAAGAAAAAAAATATTAATATCCCCTAAGTCTTGTAGCCTAATTTAATATTCTTCCAATTTTAAATTTATAATTCATTCAATATGACCTTCTTTTAAGGTCTATTTTCCCAAATGGTGCTAAAATTGCCTGTCCTACTTACGAATTCCTAATCTCTCAGCCTTTGCTATAATCACCACCACCATCATCACTAATACTTTCTGAGTATTTACCATGTGTGGTAGACACTTTACCTGCACTCTCTCACTTACTCCTCACAAGGATTTAAGATACAATTATTATTCCCATTTTACTGAAGAAAAAACTGAAGTTCAAATAGAAGTTAAGTAACTGGCCCAATCTTATAAAGCCAACTATCCAGGGTCAAAGTTTTATTCTACTATCCAGGGTCAAAAAGCTTTTTCTAGGCCTATTCCAGTCTGTCTCCTTCCTCTCCCCCACCAACAGTATAGACAGGCTTTTCTACCCTTTTCAGTCTTTTAACTCTCTTCCGGACCTTTCCCCTCTATATAAATAAATAAATAAATAAATAAATAAATAAATAAACAGAATTCTCCACATCTTAGGAAAAAAACTTAAATTATATATTGAATACACATGCTTTCTACAAGTAGGATATTACAGGAGGGGCCATTTAAAAAAAAAAAAAAATTCCTTAAATGGGTTGCAGGAGATTCAACATACAGGTATAGATAGCAGCAAAATCAGTATTGTTGCCTGCTTGAGATACAATCCTACTTTTTGCAGTGTTGCTCACCATTGATCTTCATTAAAGAGTACAGAACATAGAGTATCTGACTCCATGACCACACCACTCATTCTCTTTATTTCCCTGCAATCAGAAATTCTGCCCCTTCTACTAGTGAAAGCAGCAACCTAAACAGTAATCCCTTAGCTACCAAATCCAATATCCTTTCCCCCATCTTAATTCTCCTTACTGTCTTCCTTCTCCAGGTACTCTACTCTATTGGTTACCACAGCATTTCATCATTCAAATTTTGTCTCCTATCTCTTAAATCAAGGAGTTCTGGTGGTGTAGTGCCAAAGGCATTTGACTGCTAACCAGAAGATTGGCGGTTCAAACCCACCAGCCAGTCCTTGGAAGGAAGACTGGGCAATCTACTTCCATAGAGATACCACCTCAAAAACCCAAGGAGGGGTCGCTATGAGTCAGAACTAACTCCATGGCTGGTATTTTCCTAGATCTCCTGCCTTATTCTCAATCTTACTTCCAAATCTATAAGAATATTTTCATATTTACATTTCTAGCCCTAAACATCATTCCCAAATTTGTGGCTGCCTATGACTACCACCTCAAACTAAACATGACTCACATTGAGTTTATATACTTCATAAATCAATTTTCACTCTGGATTTACCTATTTCTGTCAATGGGACCAGTTTTTTCCTAACCACCCAGTATAAAACTGGAGTTATTTCTCTTCCTCATGTTCTTCGTAAATCAATCAGTCACCACAACCAACTTTCTATTCTCCATGACTATTGCTATCATCCCTATTCAGATGTTTTTTGCCAAGTCTGGACACTTTCATTTAGACTGGCTGAATAGTCTCCCTACCTCCACTCTTGCCCTTTAACATCACAAGGTAAGGAGTGTGTACTCAGAATATATTTATTCTGATGTGATCCTGAGGTAGGAGTCAGCAGCTCCCTCAAGTTAACATGCTAAGTGTGTACTCTTTCAAACTGGAGAGGAGGAGGAAGGAGAAAGTGAACTAGGCAGGGCTTTCTTTGAGTGAGCTAGGCTAGTGTATAGCCCTTTAAGTTCCTGAGGTAAGAGGTATGTGCTTGTTGTACTTAGCACACTGAAACTGCAAGCGCTACTCTTCTGATTATGTACCCACTACAATGCCATGAAATTCCTATTTCTTACTGACCACTTTTCAGCATGTTGTTCTCCCTTTCAGTATTTAAGAGTTCTCCATCATCTATAGATACAAACCCAAACTCCTCAGCCCAGTAGTTTAGGTCTTCTGAGACCTAGCTCTAATGAGTCACTTTACCTCTGTCTCTCATTAACACCTTGTTTTAAATCCTCTACTTTAGGAGTACACACTTTCTGAGCCTCTTACACCATAACTGATTACACCATTCTTTTTCACAAAACATATGCTGCCTCTTTGTGGTTAGTTACTGTTTTGTATATATGTCCCATGTATTCAATTCAGTGGTAGAATTCTGGTCTCCGTGTCTGGTCTGTCAGTGGAGGTTTGCATATTGGTATGATGCTGAACAGGTTTCAGTGGCGCTTTCAGAGCAAAACAAATTAGGAAGGAAGGCCTGATGATCTACTTCTGAAAATCAGCCAATGAAAACTCTATGGATCACAACAATCCAATCTTCCATTGTACATGAGTTTGCCATGAATTAGGAGCCAACTCCACAGCACCTAAGAACAACAACATTCAACTAAACAGGAAGTTCCCTGAAGGCAAAGAAAATGACTTAATATCTATCTATTTCTTCCTTCCTATTCCTACACATGGCAATAAACATCAGTTCTTGATATGAGTAACACACTGTCACTCTAATAATGATGTCATCAAATTTATATGGCATTTTATGCTTTATGTTCATTATCTCCAACTTAATCTGGCTCAAACAGCATTCCTTATTTTTCCTGTTCCTAATCTATTTCTCCCTAGGTAAGCCATCTTGTGGCTCATACTTAAAAGCCAGGAGTTTTTCTAGGTTGCTTCCATTCCTTCTCTGTATACATCTTATCCACCAGTGGGTTTGGAGGGCTCTAAATGCATGCAAAATATATTCTGCGTGTGTCTATTGTACTGCTTCCTTACCACACTAGCCTCCAAGCTGCACTCCTAGCTTTCCTTCTGGCCCTTCTAGGAATGATTTGCAAATACAAATCAGACCACATCACCTCCTTTTTAAAAAACTCTCCAATAGCTTTCTATAGCACTTAGAATAAAATCTGAATGCTTGACCATGACCTACAAGGCTCTCTATGACATAGTTCCTAGCTCTTCAACCCCAAATCATATTATTATCTCTCACTCTATCTCTAGGCTCTGGTCATCATGAGTGACCCTCCAACACACTAGGCCTGTTCCTGTTGTAGAGCCTTTGCATATTCTGTTTCCATTGTCTACAAAGTTCTGGTCCCAGAACTCTGCAGTCTAATCACCATTTTGCCCACCTAACCAGTCTCAATCATTGTTGTTGTTGTTATGTGCCATTGAGTAGGGCCAAATCATAGCAACCCCTTCTTGGGTTTCTAAGGCAGTATCACTACGGAAGTAGATTGCCCAACCTTCCTTCTGAGGAGTTGCTGGTAGGTTTGAACCAGCAGCCTCCTGGTTAGCAGTCAAGTGCCTTAGGTACTGTGTTACCAGAGCTCCCACTCTCAATCATATCACATTATTTATTATCATCACATCACTTACATCTATCTTGTTTAGCTATTTACACGTTTATTGACAATCATACCCTGAGAATCTCCCCAAGTTCAAAACTGTCACTTCGTCAATCATATTCATCTTGTTCCCCTAATTCCTTGCAGATGAGAGAAGCTATATAAATGACATGAACAAATAAATGAGAAGTGATTTCAAATGATATTCCCAACATTGTTATAAAGTAAAGTAGTCGGTAAAAGTATGGTTATCTCCATTTTATAGACAGAAAAACTGAGGCTCAAAACTATTAAATGATTTTCCCCAGAGTTACATAGAATGTCCCTAACTCCCTAACTCATAACTCCATCTTTAGGCTCTCAGTCTAGCATTTTATCTACTATACTATGATACTAAAATGAGGTTAGTTTTCAACCCCTTCAAGTAATTTCTAAAACTCATTAAATTCTTTTAATAAGCATGGCAATATTTTTAATGGAAGAATAAAACCAAACCAAACTCACTGGCACAGAGTTGATATCCTACTCACAGCAACCCCCGATGGGTTTCCGAGGCAGTAAATCTTTACAAAAGTAGATTGCCCCATCTTCCTTCTGTGGAGTAGCTAGTGGGTTTGCACCACCAATCCTCTGGTTAGCAGTCAAATGCCTTAGGCACTGTACCACCAGAGCTCCTATTACTAATTCAAGTGTTATATCAAACATAAAGTAAAAGAAGTGAAAAAGTAAATGTTTGTCCTATATATATATTTTTCCTTTCCCTGTAAGTTTGAAAAACACATACTATGCTCAACCATTATCTGCACATATCTGGTAACATGTCGAATGGAAAGGTTAAAGCATTCAATTGACAACATATGTTATATGTTGTTCATATACATCTCAGATCCTCCACTCCCTTCCATTCTTCTCCCAACACCGCTCTTTAAAATTTCTCAGGAAAGTGTCCATCCTAGAACCTTGAGATTAAGCATGAGGATGTATTTTAAGATTCCATTATAAAGTCTTCCAAGAATTTCCCTTAGGAAATACTATTATAAAGAATAATAATGTTTTTAAGATACCACATATATATGTATATAGCCACCACTGAAACAATAATGTCACTTAAAGATGCCCCATTAAAAGTAGACCCCTCAGAAGATTTAAACATACCCTTTTAAAAGCCATTCATTGATGGGTGTGATTGATAAAAGCTGAAGAAAAAGCCATATTGTTGCTGGGAAGAATGCAAGTGTAAAGATCTGAATAAAAAGATGCAGTTTTATATGCATCAAAGCACCGGTCAGCTCCTGGAAAAATGAAGGACACAAAATAACAAATGTAAGAAAACTATTTCTGAATAGAGTTTGTGCTAAAATAACATCAAATGAATTAGTGTTTGGAGTAATTTTATAGTTTAAAGTTTTATCTATGCACATGTGCATAAGGGACAGAATTTTAAGAGAAAAGTGTCACTCATGATGATTAGAAAAATAATTTGAAATAAAATTTCTGAAATATTCTAATTTCTTTAATATACAACATACCTCAAAAATTCAGATTCATAAGATTCTAGATGATTAAGCTAACTACCTTTATAACTACCTTCTCAATTTAAGAATTCTTGATACTACAAATAAATATTTATATGATATATAAATATTATATATACAAATATCTGTATTTGTTGACACTGTAAAAAAAAGGAAAAAAAAAACTTTAGCAGGACCTATTACATTTTAATTAAAGATAATTAATCTCTATTTAGTAAACCGGACCTAATAAGGCATCAATTTGGCAAGATGTTACTGAATCTACACACAAATAACAACTTTTTAAAATGTCTTCCTCAAGGATATTCTATAATTCAAAATAGCTTTTCCCCAAAAATTGACTCATTAGACTTTTTTGTTGTCAACATTTATTTATATGCCAGGCACTGAGCTTGGCACTGTATATACGTTATCTCATTTAATCCCCGCAGCAATCCTATTAGGCAGATATTATTATTCCTATTTTACTGGTGAAGAAATTGAATTTGAAAGCTTTTGCCGTTCAGCTCAGAATCAAACCCATTTCTGGCATCTTTCAAATCCATGCCTGCTTCCTCCATTATTTCAGAGTTGCCCCAGGAAAGGGGGCTGGGGGAAGTATACATTAAACATGACAAATCAGGTACATTTTATGAGTCTTACAGCTGAAAAAGTTTAATTGGTTAATCTTTTGGGTTCAAATATATACAAACTATCAAACATTTGCATCTGAATTTCTTTGAGTTATGTGGTTATTCAATTCAAATAAAACAAATGCAGAAAGTAATACAAAAATTATGGTCCTTTAAAACATGCAGGCAGTCATTAAAGCATATTTAGATACCAGAAATTCATTGGTTGCAAACACAGCACTGTATTACCCTCACCCCTAGACCATTCAAATAAGAAGTTCAAGAGATTCTCAGCCTCAAAAACATTAGCCAAAGTTTATTGATTTAACAAACAGTAGGTTAATGTGGATTCAATGACTGATCACCACATTCTAGAATCTCTCAATAGCTCCTACTATCTATCCCCCAGTGTGGAGACACCCAGCAGCTCCTTTATGGTCACAGGATGTCCCTGATGATATCCAAGGAAATACAAATCTGGGTGTAACTCAGCACCACTGGGCACTGTACTTAAGGCACTGTACTGCTAACAAAAAGGTAGGCGGTTTGAACCCACTACCCTCTCTGCAGAAGAAAGGTGATACTATTTAGTTCTATAAAGATATATATATATATATAGATAGATAGATAGATATAGATATAGATATATATTGATATTGATATATTGATATATATATATACAAAACTCACTGCCCTCAAGTCAAATCCAATGCACAGTGACCCCTTTGTATTTCTGAGGTGTATCCCTACGGAAGCAGATTGCCCAATCTTCCTTCTGAGGAGTGGTTGTTGGGTTTGAACCACCAGCTTTCTGATTAGCAATCAATTGCCTTAGGCACTATGCCACCAGAGCTCCCCCATAAAGATAAACAGCTTTGGAATCCTTATGGGGGTCACTATGAGTCAAAATCAACTCAATGCCAGCAGATATGGTTTTTGATTTTGGGCAACACTAGTAGCTTTGGTGGTTAGTGGTTAAAGCATTGGGCTGCTAACAAAAAAGATGGTGATTTGAACCAACCAACCACTCCATGGGAGAAAGATGAGAGAGTCTGCTGTTGCAAAGATTTATAGCCTTAGAAAGTCTATGGGGGCAGTTCTCTGTCACAGGATCATTATGAGTCAGAATCTACCCAATGGCAATGGGTTTGGTTTTTTGGTTTATGGGCAACACTGGGCATACTAGAAGCTACACTGAGGCCTCAGATCAGACCTAACTCTCAGATGACAAAGAGTACTATCCTTAAACTAAATAAGAATTTTAAAAGTTCCACACTAATAGCACAGAATTCTCAGCAGTCTTGAGACTGGTTTAATCTCATTTAAATGTACTCAGAGGCATTTAAAACTACATCCTTCTTTTTTGTTTAAAAAATATTGTAATAAAAAAATGATTAGCCTGTATGTAGGACCTAAGCATTTGTACATACATCTGATAGGAATATAAACAATATAATTTTTTTGAAAAATAATTTGGAAACACATATCAAAGGCTAAAAAACAATCACATTCTTAAAACCAAAAAGTTCATGTCTAGATTTTTATCCTAAGGATATAGAAAATGATTATAAACATCTATATATAGAATTTATCACAGCATCATCTATTAGAGCAAAATCCTGGGAATAACTTAAATCTCCAAAAGTGGGAGAACAATTAAATAACATGGTATAACCAGAGTGCTATGAGCTGTTGGGGAGCTCTGGTAGCATAGTGGCTAAGGCATTTGACTGCTAACCAGAAGGCTGGTGGTTCAAACCCATTAGCCACTCCTCGGAAGGAAGGTGGAGCAATCTACTTCCGTAGTGATACTGCCTCGGCAACCCAAGGAGGGGTCTCTATGAGTCGAGTCCAACTTGACGGCACATAACAACAACAACAACATGAGCTGTTAAAACTATACTTGCAAGAATGTGGGAGTACATGCTCTCTCCAACTTTACTGATAAGAGTATAAACTGACACAATCTATGAAAAGCAATCTGCAACTCATTCCTTCATTCAACAAATACTAAGGGACAAATACACACACACACACACACACATATGCCAAGTATCTGGGACCATTGTACTTGGAATAGCTATCACAATTTAAACTCTACATATCATTAGATCCAGTAATTCCAGAATTTATCCTTCAAATATGCTCCCAAATGTGGGAAATGGTATATTTTAGGTTACCCTTTCCAGTATTGTTTTTAATAGCAAAATCTTATAAATTACCTAAATGTCCATTAATAGAGGACTGATAAAATATGAGATATATCCATAAAATGGAGTACTAATCAGCCTTCAAAAAGAAACAGGAAATTCTTATGTGTTGATAGGAAACAATCTCCAAGATCTATTTAAAAAAAATGGTATAGTGCCAAACAATATTAAGTACTACAAGTTATAGAGAGGGTATGTGTGATTTGTAAAGAATATCTTGGAAAGAATACACAAGAAACTGTTAATATTGGTTGTCTCCAGAAAAGAGAATTTGATATCTGGTGGAAGGCTGAAAGGAAGGCTTTTCATCATACATACTTCCTTACTTTATGTTTCTGAACTGTATGAATAAATCATATGCTCATAAAGGTAAGCAAATTTTAAATTATTTTATTTTTAACTATAGCTAAATGAAGATAAATTAAGTAAAAATATTAAATTACATGATAAATAATCATTATATAATGTTACATAGAAAAAATAAGATAATATGTGTATGTATTTGTGTGTGTATCCCAATTTTATTTTTCAAATATTCTATGTATAAAACATATGTTTAGGGAAAAGAAAGACTAAAAAGTGCCCTGGTATTAATAGCTATCTCTTTTATTCTTTTCTAATCTTTGTCCAATGGGTAAATACAACTTTTATAATCAGAAAAAAAGTTATAAAACATAAAATGTAATTAGAATATACTCAATTCAACTCATACCGACCCCTCCTTGGGTTTCCAAGGCAGTATCACTACAGAAGTAGATTGCCCAACTTTCCTTCCGAGGAGTGGCTGGTGGGTTTGAACCGCCAGCCTTCTGGTTAGCAGTCAAGTGCCTTAGGCACTATGCCACTGTAGCTCCTAGAATATACTAGCTGACCTAATAAACTTAGAAATAGCTGACATTGTGTCAGAAGAATGGTACAGTTAAGATCCCAGCAAAGTAAGTCACAAGGGCCTAGAGACCATGTTGGGCCATGTGAGGCCTCTTACAACAGGGAAGTAACAGGCATGAAGTGTTCCTGAGGAAAGTTTGTAACATGGTCACTTTAACCCAATGTCATATATTTTCTGCATCTCATTTGTATACCATAAGAATAAAATAAATTAACACTGAAAATAAAAAGGTAAGTAAACACTTTAAAGTTCATTTTATACACACACACACACACACACACATATACAAAACCAAGCTCACTGCTACTGAGTTGGTTCTGACTCATAGCAACCCCTCCTTGGGTTTCTGAGGTGGTATCTCTACATAGTAGATTACCCAGTCTTCCTTCCAAGGAGCGACTGGTGGGTTTGAACCACCAGCCCTCTGGTTAGCAGTCAAAATGCCTCAGATACCATGCACCAGAACTCCTATATAAATACATATATGGAGACCTCTGTTGGTGTAGTGAGTGGATAAGGCACTTGACTGCTAACCAGAAGGTCAGCAGTTCAAACCCACCAGCTGTACCATGGAAGGAAGATTGGGCGATCTACTCCCGTAAACATTTACAGTCTCAGAAACTCAATGGAGGTCACTATGAGTCAGAAAGGACTTGATGGAAGTGAGTCTGGATATATATATAGGAACTCTGGTGGCATAGTGCCTATGGCATGTAAGTGCTAACCAGAAGGCTCCACTCCTCAAAAGGAAGGTTGGGCAATCTACTTCCATAGTGATACTGCCTTGGAAACCCAAGGAGAGGTCGCTATGAGTCAGATCCAACTCGATTGCAGTGAGTTTATTTTGGGTTTTTTTTGGATATATGTGTGTGTGTGTGTGTGTGTGTGTGTAATATATAATGTGTGTGTATATATATAAAGTTTAGGTCATATACTCATATAAATACCATCAATCATGAATAATTGAAAAGATGACTCTGCATACATTTAGGTTATTCACCTGTAATACAAGTCAAATTCTATTACAATAAACTTAAGGAGATTCTC